ATGTAGAGAAAAAAAATTGATACAATTGCACCTAGTGACAGATATTCTCTGGGTGTAAGAGGTTATAATCTTCTAAATTCTAAATTTTAGGAATTTTCAACAGTTAGGTACTTTAAATTTAATAATAATTAAATATACTCACTTTATAATTTTAATTTTTTTTTCACTTTTCATAAATATTAATATAAATTATTAAATATATTGAATAAAAAATATTTTATATTTTTTCACCTTTTTTATTTTTATTATTTATTAATAATATATTATTTCAAAATCATTTATATATATAACCCTGGCTGGATCAATGTTGGTCTGAAATTTCTTCCCAGAACGAGTGATTAGAAAATTATAATCACGAGTTGGCCTCTTGTACTGCACTACTGTGGCACGTAATTTGTGTGGATTGTTTTCGATAAAAGAAAGAAACCGTGTAAAATGAACAGGAAATTTAGGTTCCAATTCAGAGCATTCAACTAGTACCTGACATGCCAAAAAAAAATAAAAATAAAAATAGTGACAAAAACAAGTGGGGAAAAGTCGCAATCGATAGAAAACAACACAACTAATTAATGATATTAGGAGAAAAATATTATATGCTTTTGTATTTTCTTTGGCTCTTTTACGATTGGGAGGATACATGCGAAAACTATTGTTAATTAAAAATAAATACATTGAAATATAAATGTTTAATTTGAAAACTTTTTTAATAATTATTTTTGAAAGCTATGAAAGATTTCTTTAGCTAAAATTATTTTAGCTTGTGAGCGACTGACCATTAAACTCATTTTTAATTTATTATTTAATATATCGTGTACTATAAGAAAAATATATTTAATTCTCATTCATTCAAATTCGAGCAAATAAATATCTTTACCGGTTTCATACCTTGATTGGTTTTTAAAACAAATGATTAGAAGTATAATTACAGAATAATCTACAATTGTCTCCCACTTTTAATCCCCTACCTCAATTTTAAAGTATTTATTCCGTGGTATATATTCGCTTTTTTGGAAATTTCACTTGTTTCAAAATATTTATTATTACTTAGCATATCAATAAAACATGATATATTTTAATGAATAATAAATAATAAATATAAAATTAGGCTAATTAATGTGACTTAATTAAGAAAGACATATGCTCTCAAGGAAAAACAAAATATTTATTATTATCTATGTCTATAACTCTAACTCTACGGTGGCTAGACCATCAACAGTAATAATTAGTATGCATGTGAATTTGATGCTGACTACCCAATCATCAACCTAAATTATTTTCTTGTGCAGGTGTTGATCAAATAAGTTACTTTTAATATAAATAACTTCAATACAAGTTTGAGAAAATCTATTTCACACTAGACTTGGTCATATCCGAAAGATCAAGCATAACCAAAATCAAGTATTACTTTCAACTCTATAAGAAATGTGTCCCTAGATCCGCAAAATTTATAAAAGTCAAACATCAAATCTCCTTTATTTATTTTTGTAACCCGGCCTATCCCACAGATTATGACTTAACCAGGCTCTATTCAGTTTGATATAAGAAATGTGGGAAATATCCAAACTTTTTTCCAGGTTGATTTTTTAATACAATTTCACATGTCATATATGTTTTAATGATATGGTAAGTAGATAATGTTATTTAGCCATTTTCAAAAACTAACAATTTCTAACATTCAATATTAGTTTTTATAAAATAAAATGTTTATTAATTAGGAGTATATTCATATTAGCAAATCTCTCATAAGTTAAATATCTATTATCTCATAATTGTTTTTCTTTTCCTTTAGTATTTTTGTGCACAGATAAAATTCGTCACAAGATAATAAATAATTAGTCACAAAATTATTTTGTAATAAAATTTGTGATGAATCTAAATGTCATCATAAAAATAATATTGTCACAAAAATTATAGTTTTTTAAGTGAATTTTTAATTGAGTCTTACTTAAATAAGAAATATTTTGCTTTAAATGAGATCTGTTTAAGTGAAAAATACTTTATTTTAAATAAGTCTAGCTTAAACAAAATTTGCTTAATCCAGACAAAATTTTCACTTAAACGACAATTATTTAGTAAAATTTTAAAAATTTACTTAACTACTTAAATAAGAATAATCTCTCGTTTAAACTAATGAAATTTTTACTTAGATGATGCAAAATTTTCACTTAAATAAACTTATTAATTAAATATTTTTTAATTTATGATGATATTTATAATAAAATAATTAATAATACACTATTTTCGTTCCAAATTTTTGTCATTAAGATAAATAAAAATATACCCGATAACTTTTATAATAAGATAATATATGATAATCACAGTATCTATCTGTGTATATTTAACTTTATCACAAAATTTATGATATTGCCATAAATTTATCACAACGTTCCTCACAAGATGACATCACAAATTTTTTTTTTTTTTAATGGTATACAAAGTTCTAATATTGTTGATTTCGTATATCCTTTGTTGAGATGTAATATACACGAGACCTCATAACAGGGTTCACCTAAACCAAGTAACTTTGCATACCAAAAACTACATAGTCATATTGAAAATACTTTTTCCAATATAAAAATGACTTTTTTTTTTTTTTTGCTTTTGCATTTACAATACTCTCACCATAAATACTTGTATATTAAAATATAAATCCATGACTTTTTCACTAAATTAGAAGAGATTCATCTTAATTTATTTTTGGAGAAACTTTCTTGGTCGAGCATCTATAATACCAAACCTATTATATATATATTACTTCTTCGTAACTCACTGAAATCCAACTTTTATTAGTCATATCCTTTATACTATAATATAAACCTCCAATACTAATTTATACCTTATTAAACACCATTTTAAAACAAAAATGATTGCATGGTATGCATAAGTATGAAGGCTAAACTGATTTTTTAACATAAAAAACAACATACCTTATTTAAAAATTTTCCTTCACAATTTGGTGACTCTTACGATTGGTAGCCTAGATACCTTACCAATGTTGTTTTTACGATGCATTTTCAAATATTATTGCAAAGAATCAATCTTTCTAAATGAAGTCCCTGTGAATATATAAATCTAGATATTTTGAGATTAATTATTAAATCTGATCCATTGCAAAAGTTATCTAGAGAGATTAAGATTAAATACATTTATTAGTCGTTGGCATCATAGAAAGGTAAAACATCATCTGCAAAAACATAGGTCAAAGGAGATTCTCCTTTAGATATTATAATAGGTTGTATAAATCTCCCTTCATACAATGATGATTTGTGTACTAGAGGAAGTTTTTGATACAGTGAAGGATATATGAACTCCTTACCTTGGGCCCTAAAATAAATAAATTCTCCAATTTGGTCCCATTAAAAAAAACAATAAATTGGCTTATATCTTACACATGACTAAATTCATTATTATTATTATTATATATATATATATATATATATATATATATATATATATATATATATATCATTTACCATAAAAATTTCTTTAATTTAAATTGTAGAAAATAAATATACTAATTAATCATTGCATCAACACTCAAACTCATTTAAGAAAAGAATTATTAAAAAAATATTTTATCTTAATATTTTGTGCTATTAATAGTTTTTATGATATCTATCATTTGAGAAACTTCTCAATTTTTTATTTATACTATTTTTCAAGATATTTTTTTTGTAAAACTGAAATGTTTTACTAAAAAAGTTCATTCAAATCCTAAATTAATTGAACATAAAGTATGATATTAATAATGATTTTTTAAGAAATATACTTGATATTTATTTAATTTAATAAAATGACTTTTTTTTAAGAATATGTAAAGTTATAAACGAAATGAATAATTAAAAAATATTAATTATTTTTTTGTTAATGTAAGTGTTTAAATTTTCATATTTATTACATTTGCTAGAGACATATTCTTTTAATTAATCATGCATAATTAATATATTATTAATTGATTATACATAATATTATATTAATAAGAGAATTATTAGCATTTAAATATATATAATTTATTATCTAAAATATCTTAATAAAAAACTTATAAATAAGATCATTTTACTTTTTATATAAATCATATATTTTAATTTTAATTTTTTTTATACTCATTAAAATATCAAAGTATTTTTCCAAGTTAGACTTTCTTTTTTTTTAGTATTTAATAAATTTCGATCTGATAGATTAAAAAGTAATAATCATCTAAAGCAATATTATTGACTGACCTTTCCAAATTTATTTATTATTATAATATTTTTATAATAACATTTAGTAACCACGAGAGTCTACCAAAATATATCACATACCACATCTCATTAATTAATGATTATTTTACCAAAGTAACAATATGAAAATTTAGTATTTTTACTAAAGTAAACATGTTATATAAATAATTACTAAATTGTTAAAATTTATTCTAGATAATGTTTTAACTATTAAAAAATTCGTCAAATTAATTCTTATACGTTAATAAAACATTTCAATATAAAATTTTAATTAATGGATATTTAAAATATAGTTCTATTTATATACTTTTATTATATTAAATACCATTTAAGAAAAAGAATACCACTTGAAGAAAAAACAAATTGATGGTGTACTAGAATAATTAATTTTCAAATCCTTGGACAAATGTTATTATCTTTAAGGTTCCCAACAAACAAACCACCCCAAAAGGTCAAATAATCTTTCCTATTTATACGATAATTGGGGTGTCATTTATTATTATCACTAATGTGAAAGAGAAAACAAGTTGATGACATTAGACCAGTCAAAGTACCGAGTCTGTTGCATGGGAAGAGTTACCTACTGCTTTTAAAGATTTCAGCATTTTATGTGCTTACAACATCTTTATATATAGAGACCTACCCTTTTAGTTTTGTCACAGACCAACTTTTCCTGACTACTCCACACAACTGCATCCCTTTCTTCCATCTCTTTCCTTCTTCAGAACTTGCATTTCCAAACCAAAGAAATTCCTCTTTCTCTCTCTCTCTATTGCCCACATGGCAGCTTTTTCATACCAATACCATCCTTTTCTTGTTGACCCTGCATTCTTCCCCACCAACATGAACACCCCTTCTTCTCCTCCTCCTCCCCAGTATCACCTCCCTCAGGAAACATCTTTTAATCTCACAAACCAGGAGACTAGCTGTGTTGACCAAAGCTCTAAGATCACCATCAGTGACAATGAGCCTTCCGTCACTAAAAACCTTAGCCCTCAGTCCTCCGTGGTGGTGGACAAGCTTGAAACCGGTGAGCAGGTCACTCAAAAGGTGAACACTCCTGTGGAGAAGAAAAGGAGAGCCAGAAATGGATCTTCCTTAACTAGTAACCCCCAATCCAAGGTAAATAATTTGAGTTTGATTTCTGCGTACTCCCAAAGTGTCATGTTGTTAATCCATTAGAAACCATACTTGTTAAAAATAAAAAACTTACTGTACATAGTAGTTTGTAACTAGATTACACTATATCACTGTTTACACTCATAGATTAATGGTTTATGTTCTAACTTTACTTTTTTGTTTTGAGGAAATGTTAGCTTTGTTAAGTAATGTGTTAACCAAACTAGTGTTGTTTTGTTGATTATTGTAGGATACTGCAACAGAAGGAAGAACCAAGAAACAAAGGAAGAACAATGGTGGGGTGAAAGAAGAGGACAAGGCAAAAGAAGAGAAGAAGGATCAGAAAAAATGTCCTGAAGAGCCCCCAACAGGCTATATCCACGTCAGAGCAAGAAGGGGTCAAGCAACGGATAGCCACAGCCTTGCTGAGAGGGTACTGTACTCTCTTAACAACTTGAAAATTATCAATGGCTGTGGGCCCCACTAATGTGCTGTCTGCCCTAGAGTTTTATCTTCATGTCTCATTCTAATGTTGCAAGAAAATGGATTTCAGGTGAGAAGAGAGAAGATAAGTGAAAGGATGAAGGTGTTGCAAAGGCTTGTGCCAGGCTGTGATAAGGTAGGTAAAGTAGAACTTCATGTCACCCTTGCATGTAGGACCAAGAATTTTATTTTCCTTAAAATAATAATGAAATACCTTATCAATTAACAACAACTCCTTTGCTATCCTTGTGATTGGTTGTCTGATTTGTGAAATGTGATTGTGCTTTTGCTAGAATTTCCCTTTATATGTTAATTTTTCCCATTTCTTCTGACAGCTTCATATGTTGTGGTTTTTATCTAGGTGACTGGAAAGGCCCTTATGTTGGATGAAATAATCAATTATGTTCAGTCTTTACAGAATCAAGTTGAGGTACCCTTAATAGATTCAATTGTTTTTTCTGGTTAATACTTCACCTTAATTATTCATCATGAATTAGCTATATACAATTAATGTGTATTATTCTGACAAGCTAGCCATGCCTCAAATTTCTGCAGTTCTTGTCAATGAAGCTTGCTTCCGTGAATCCAATGTTTTATGACTTGTCAACGGACCTAGATACCCTCTTGGTTAGACCAGAGGTGAGGATTGATAAACAAAATTAACAATTTCCATGTCGATGGATCAAGTTAAACACGTCTAATCATGACACTGACGTGGTCTCTTTGAAATTTTCAGAAACTAAATAGCATGGCATCACCATCACCATTACCATGTGTGTCACATTGCAACAGCCCCAACCAAGTCACAACTTTTGCTGATACAACCACCATGACCCCAACCAACATCTTCCACACTGCCAGTGACTACCTTTTGGATAATTCAGCTTCATTTTTTTTTCAAGGCCAGAGGTCGAATATGTTCTCTGAGGAGGTATAAACAGAAATAGCCCCTTTTTTCTTTATTACTTTTAAGAAAAAAGAAAAAATGGTTTTCTTTACTGTTAATATTATTATTATTATGATTGACACAAACATCATTTTCAGGATACCGGTAGTCAATTCTGGGACGCAGAGGACCAGCGACAAAAGTTTCTTCATCCATATGGATTCAACAACAACTTTTGCTCCTTTCATTAATAATTTTTTTTCACAAAGCTGCCCTACAAAACTACGAACATGTTGTAAGTTTTCACATCCTGGTTCGTATTAAAACATTACTATATAACTCAATAATATATGGTTCCTGAGCCTGACCCTTTTTTGTATAAAACTTTTTCAGGATTTAGCTTTTACAATAGGTAAGGAAATTCCAAAGAGGCACGAGAATGAGCCAAAAAGAAATTAGCATTAGAATGAAAAACCAAAGCTACGCTTGGTATCGGTATAAGTAAATCATTTCAGTTGAAGGAAAGGGTAATTGGTTCCAATTCCATCAGATTAAAGTGGACTTTGAAGATGAATAAAGGGCACCAAAATTAATGGATGAAGAACCAAAAGGACAGAAAATACCGACCAAATAAGACCATATCTTTTCTAGATCCATTGTTCTGTTCCAGTGATTTTTGACTCTCCAAGGACTTATGACGCACAAATTCCGAGAGACATCAAAGCTAAACACAGAGCAGACATTGAAATTTATGTCATGTAAATTATCAAAGTATTGATTCTTGTGGTGGCAGTTATTCTGTTGGTACAGTTAATTTCACCATTATTGAGAAATGAGAGTTGATGCTACTGATCATGTTCTTGACATGACTGGCCATGCATTTGTTTGTTGGTCTACTTAGCTTTTATGTATATGTATCTGCAGAATCTTCAGAGTTTTGGCATCATTATGATTATTGCTCTTATTATTTATTCATCCACACCGTCAAGTTTCCTAACCAGATGATGCTCCACCTTGACTGAAAAAAACCAAACAAATTGTTAGAGTTTAAAAATCAATAATCATTAATTTTCATATAAATTAATAAGGCATGGAACTCGGTTAACTATATATATATATATATATATATATATATATATATATATATATATTATTCATTATTTTCTTTCAAATTCAATAGTCTAACGCTAATAGTTAGTAATAGCTACAGTCACAACACTGCTTAACAAACCAATGCATGCGCGTACGTATGTTAATCGCACATAAGAAAATTCAGTGTGGTTGTAATATTCATATATCAATGGTAGAGTCGTGATCATTTTATACCTGTTAATATGTAAGTTATAACTAAGGAGTGTGTACTTGCGTTACTCTATTAAAGTATTGGTCAGTTTCGTTTCATTTCAAAGCTAATCAATTTACTTCGCCTGTTAAAAGATAGAAAATGAATTGACGTGACAATATTTTGTTTCCCCAGACAAAGGAATTCTGTCTTTGCACAAGGATAGAACTGTCAAAAGGCTAAGAAGATACTCTATGCTTTCATAGTGCATGTGCAATGGGAACACAAATGAATTCCTCTCAATCTATGTGCATTGAACCATTGCTAAAATGTGACGAAGCCATGAAGAAATATTAAGTACAGACAATGACCTCTACAAATAGCTCATAACGACGTGGTTAATTTACTTATCTTAAAAGGTTTCAATCAGCTGAATAATTTTTAAAACTTAAGTATAAGAAAACTGATCTTGTTCTTGTTATGGTTGATGTAATTAATAACAAGGGAGTGGGGTTTTTTTTTTTTTTTTTGTCTCAACAAACTAATGGATTAGTTATTTGTATAAGTTTTATGCAGATATAGATATTTAAACATCAGCTCTTGTACAGAACTTGAGCTCAATTTGAGAGGATAGGAAATTCCAAATTTTCCCTATCCATATAAGCAATGGGTTTAGGATATGCTACTGTGAAAACAAGAGAAGTTCTTTCTAACTACTTTGAAAATCAGTCTGACAATATCTATGTATCAATCGATTATCTATTTATATTGACAAGGATGTCAATTAGCATTATTCATAACAAATAAATAAATCAATCAAGAGAGACTATCAGCATTGAACCACATACTCCATCTCACAAATGCTGCTTCTTCAATTATGAAAAAGCCTATGTTTTGGAGACAAGATTCAACAGAAGAATAGACGTTTACATAAAAGTGAAGAGATAAAAGTCACATGTGGTTTATTACAAGCAAAATAGAAACCAATGCACATAAAATGAAGAGAGAGAATTTCATCCCCAAGAAACTAAAAGAATTTTTTTTTTCCCTTAATCTTTGCCTATGTGGATGTAGACAATCCATGTGGATTTTGTGTTCTACTTGTTTTCTCTGTGTCGACCCGCATGTTGCACTGTCCTCTCCAATCATATGCATCATCTTCTACTATGTGTCTTTTCAAATTGAGGCTATACAGATACACAACATGATCAACTGGGTTTTGATGTATCTTGCATAACTAGCGTTAGTTACTAAGAAACTAGAAAAGAGCTGGATATTATTCAGCCATGTGTCTAATCCTACCCTTTTTCCCACAGACACTAGCTTGATCTAGAACCAGCTACTTCATCCAGATTATATGTTCATCCTTGCATTTTGTAAAAGATACGTGAGTATATGGCACCCGCCAATTTATGCATGCGAAAAGCTATCAAATTTGAATGATAGTAATGGTGGATTAGTTTTCATATTAAATTGTTTTCAACTTCAAATCATGACTCATCAATGCTGGATTTGGACACTGTGGAAACTGTTCTCTGGGGTGTTGATGCATATTTGTCACTTGACTCCTTAAGTATGCCTAAGAAAAGCACATGACCCAGAAAGCAATGTTAAAAGTTGGAAAACATTTCCCAACCAAACCAGTTTGAAAAGACAAGGTGCTGCCATTTGTTTAGCAATAAACAGATTTGTTGGTGCCCAAAGAAGTAAATGCTGTACATATTTGTTGCTCACCAACACATCCATCAGCAATTCAGGGGTCCCCCCTGTTTTTATTATTTTAGGGTTCCCTCAACTGACAAGCAATGCAGTACTGGCTATGTCTCTGCTTGATATAACTTCTTAGTTCTGTTCTTTTGCTCTTCCTTTTTTCATCTTTCTTCCCATCAAATTTTGTAAACTGTGGTCATAATTTTGTCGTGATATTTAATGTTGTAAGAAATTACAAATAAGTGTCGTTGATACAGCAGTCTCAATGTAGTATGACCCGATAAATCTTGATGATGTGGCCAAATAGCAGTGATGAACCAATGAACATGCCTCCTCTTTATACTTATTGATCATGACATTCAATGCTGAAATTGAATTTAACGTTGTTCTTGTTAAGCTCTCAGCAATTTATATCTTCCTTCAAAACTCGTCAAACTCTGTTAGATATTTGATTTTTAGACTGCACACAAGATATTTTTATTTGTTTTATTTTTCTGTTTTGTTTGTTGAATAAGGGTTTCTAGTGAAAGTAAATATGTCTAGATTTTAGGAGAGAATATCTCAAATTAGTTTTTTTCTACATTTTGCAGATGTATTTTGAACTAGCATTCTAAATACAAGCTCAATAACGATTGATTTAATTTCATATTCATTCTCTCCAATTTTTCCCATTTTTTTTATTCTTTTCCATTCATTTTATTCAGTAAACCTACAATTGGTATCGTGAGTTTTTTTCCTACGGGCCTGTGGATATGGATGTCGAACCAAATTTCTCACACATTGCACCTCCAGTTTTTGATGGCGAAAATTATGATCTTTGGGCAGTCAAAATGGAGGCTTACTTGGAGGCTTTGGATCTATGGGAAGCTGTAGAAGACGATTATGAAGTCCTTCCGCTGCCAGACAATCCTACCATGACCCAGATCAAGCTACACAAAGAAAAAAAAACCCGAAAAGCAAAGGCAAGGTCATGCCTTTTTGCTGGGGTTTCTACCACGGTTTTTACTAGGGTCATGACTCTCAAATCAGCAAAGGCAATTTGGGATTATCTCAAGACACAATATGCTGAAGATGAAAGAATTCGAAACATGCAAGTGCTTAATTTAATGAGGAAGTTTGAGCTTCAAAGGATGAATGAGTCTGATACAGTCAAAGAGTATTCAGACAAATTGCTAAATATTTCCAACAAGGTAAAGTTATTGGGAACTGATTTTGCAGATTCTAGAATTGTTGAAAAAATCCTGGTAATTGTACCAGAAAGGTATGAAGCATCTATAGCTTCATTGGAGAATTCAAAGGACCTTTCTAAGATCACTTTGTCAGAAGTGTTACATGCCTTACAGGTTCAGGAACAATGAAGAATGATGAGACAAGATCATGTTGTTGAAGGTGCTTTGCCAGTCAAACATCATGAAATTGATAAGAATCAAACATCAAGCAATGTAAGTTCAACAAGAAATCAATTTAGAAGCAAGGGAGGAAAGAAAACTTATCCGCCTTGTCAACATTGTGGTAAAAAAGGTCATCCGCCCTTCAAATGTTGGAGAAGACCAGAGGCAAAATGCAACAAGTGCAACCAGATGGGGCATGAAGTTATAATTTGCAAAAGCAAAAATCACCACGATGAAGGAGCTCAAATTGATGATCCAGAGGAGGAGGAGGAGGAAGACCAACTATTTGTGGCTACATGTTTCTTGGGCAATGAGTCCAATGAAAGTTGGCTAATTGATAGTGGTTGTACCAACCATATGACCTTTGACAAGTCACTCTTCAAATATTTGGGGCCAACCAATGTCACTAAAGTAAAAATAGGTAATGGTGATTATATAACAGTTAGAGGAAAGGGTACAGTTGCAATAACAAGTTGTGCAGGGACAAAATTTATTCCTGATGTTCTTTTTGTTCCTCAACTTGACCAAAACCTATTAAGTGTTGGTCAACTCATTGAAAAAGGATTTAAAGTTGTTTTTGAAAACAAACATTGCTTGATTAAAGATGCAGCTGGACAAGATATGTTCAAGGTAAAAATGAAAGGAAAAAGCTTTTCTCTAAATCCTTTGGAGGAGGAGTAAGCTGCTTTCTCACTTAAGGAAGATGTCACAAAAACCTGGCACAAAAGGCTTGGGCATTACCATCACCAGGGACTACTGCAGTTGTGTAAACAGGGTTGACACTTGATGTTCCTAACCTTGGGGATCGAATTTCAAATTGCAAGGCTTGTCAATTTGGCAAACAAAACAGAAAACCTTTCTCAAAAACTGTCTGGAGAGCATCAAGAAAGTTGCAATTAATTCACACAGATGTTGCAGGTCCTCAAAGAACTCCTTCATTGAAAGGAAACAACACAAGGTTGATGGAAAAGTTTAAGAAAGAAATGATGGAGGTCTTTGAGATGACAGACCTTGGGTTAATGACATTCTTCCTTGGCATTGAGATCAAACAAAGAGAACATGAAATCTTCATTTCTCAAGAAAAATATGCCAAGGAAATTCTGAAGAAGTTCAAACTTGAAGAATGCAAAGAAATGAGCACTCCAATGAATCAAAAGGAAAAACTATGCAAGGAAGATGGAACTGAGAAGATAGACCAAGCATTTTTCAGAAGCATAATTGGATGTTTGATGTACCTTACAGCAACTAGGCCTGACATCTTAAATGTTGTAAGTATTTTATCTAGGTTTATGCATTTCCCAAGTGAAATGCATCTCAAGGCTGCAAAAAGGGTTATTAGATATATCAAAGGAACTTACAATTTTTGCATCAAGTTTAAGAGAACTGAAGAATTCAAATTGAAAGGTTTCTCAGATAGCGATTGGGGTGGCTCAATTGATGATATAAGGAGTACCTCAGGGTACTGTTTTAGTTTTGGATCTGGTGTTTTCTCTTGGAGTTCAAAGAAACAAGAAATTGTTGCACAATCTACAGCAGAAGCTGAATTTATTGATGTCGCAGCTGCTGTTAACCAAGTCTTGTGGTTGAAGAAAATTCTAATTGATCTTAACATGGAGCAGAAGGAAAGTACAGAATTTTTTGTTGATAACCAAGCTGCAATAGTCATTTCTCACAATCCTGTTTTTCATGGGAAGACTAAACATTTTAACATTAAGTTGTTCTTCTTAAGGGAGGTACAAAAGGATGGAGTTGTTGTTCTAATTTATTGCAAAACTGAAAACCAGGTTGCTGATTTGTTTACTAAACCACTTCCACTCAACAAGTTTGAATTTCTAAGGCAGAAGATTGGAGTTTGCAGTTCTAAAACCAAGGAGAAGTGTTAGATATTTGATTTTTAGACTGCACGTGACTGCACATGATATTTTTATTTGTTTTATTTTTCTGTTTTGGTTGTTGAATAAGGGTTTCTAGTCAAAGTAAATATGCCTAGATTTTAGAAGAGAATATCTCAAATTAATTTTTTTCTACATTTTACGTTACTGCAGTATTATAAATGTATTTTGAACTAGCATTCTAAATACAAGCTCAATAACGATTGATTTAATTTCATATTCATTCTCTCCAATTTTTCCCATTTATTTTATTCTTTTCCATTCGTTTTAATAAGTAAACCTACAAACTCCTTAATTGATTCGTACTTACCTTAAAAGCTTAAAGTTGTTAGCAAAACATACATGAATTGTTCCATATTTAATTCTATTTTGTGCTCCAATTTAACCTCAAATCATTGCCTCTTCAAAGTGAGAAGAGTGCATGATAAACTAGTTTTATAAATTTCTCAAAATTAACAATTTCATATGAAATTAACTTCAGAATTTCTTGTACACATATTTTATCAATAGCTCTGTTCTTACACTTTTGCTTTGCAGGAATTGGATTCCTTATTCGCTAGGTCACAAAAGTTATAACAGATGGTTACTTCTTGCAGTAGGATCCTTCAATGCTAAAAGCCTATAACTGTAAAATATAGAGGGAAAATAGAAGCGATTTCCAAACGAATATTTTATTTTATATAGTTTTGCTGTCAAACAACAACGCCACAGCATAGAGTTTATCCGAATAAGTTAAAATGTTTTTTTGTACATATATATATATATATATATATATATATATATATATATATATATATATAAAGTTAACTTTTTAACAAATATTAGGAGCTTCTTTAAAAATGAAAAAAAAAACTTATTTAATATAAAAAAATTAAGATGCATTTTAATTGAAAATATGGTTTGAAAAAAAATAAAAAAATAAATGGGTCCTATTATTGTCTGTAGGTACAATCTATGACAAGTCTGCATCTAAACCCCTTCTGACTTGTGCACATAAAGCAACGAGCATGAGCTTGACAGATGTTAAAGTGTCTTCCTCAGACGGTGTAATAAAGAAGTTAGTGAAAGATTAATTGTTGATTTATTGAATTTTTCCAAGTTATTATATCTGAAGGAGGAAGGAATAAGAAAAACAAAATGCTAAAGTATAAATGAGGCTTTGAACATGTATAATCAAGTACTAGCTAGAAAACCATACACAACTATACGTCTCATCACTGTCTAATTTAATGTAATAATGGACTTAGAGTTTGCCACGTAAATATCTCCTGGACCCCTTTCTCTTTACTACAGTAAGCAAAATTTGTACGACTCATTATTTACTACAGCTTCTTAGGTTTTAATCATCAACATGTGTTGGAGAACCTCAGGACCACCTTTGTTTGGTAACTTTTGGCAGATAAAAATTAAATGAAAGCATGTACATACCCTTATGGACTGTATCTAGGGCAGTAATTTTACATGGAGTGAGTGGTAATTAAAGCTGCAGTAATTAACGACATGGGTTGGGTTGGGACATGGCTAATCAAGAAGTACAAAGGTTCGTGCGTACGTTAAGGGTGCATTTACTTTTACCAGTTACTGACTGAATATCTGTACCGAAATCAACAGTAACATTGTCAATTAAGGCTCTTCTATACATACACTACATTTTTATTAGGATGCTCATACTTCTTTGCATGATAACTTTTGTTTCCTTTGTTTTTTTTTTTCCAATTCTTTTGAACCATACATACTGTAAAATTTCTTAAAAACGTAGGTTAAAAACTTTTATTTACTGATATAATTAACTATATGCATTTTTGTAATTATTCTTTGGACTGTGAAAGTGATTCCGTTTTGATGAGTTGTAGGAATTAATTTATATAAGTTCTGTAAAGACACAAATTTTTAATAGTGCTGTCACAATCTGATGTCAAATGTAAATCTACGTCTATTTGTCATTTGATTGAAGATAAATGACTGGATCAGTCTTGTGATAAGCTTGATGTAGAAGCTTATTTGTCCTGATGATTAAGCCGACATGATATATATATATATATATATATATATATATATATATATATATATATATATATTTGCCTCTGGTCCAATCATAGAAGAATGATTAAATGCAGTCTTATCATGGGTTAATACAAAGCATGAGTGGGATTAACATGACTGCAGGTCTAATCCTGAAATATACTAGTAAATATACAAAAACCCCTTTAATGCAAAATTATAACAAGTAAGGAGGTAAGTACATGCATAATATAGACCAATTAATCTTGTTCCTAGATGCTAATGATGAGTTTGAGTTTGGGATATGATTTTTTGTCTCTTTTTGTGTTTATGATATATGATGATCTGGGTATCTGCTATCTAATCTGTGAAATAAACAAGGTTCTTTGGGAAGATATTGATCCAGCATTAAGGATCTAAAGCTATAACTAATCTGTCGGATACGTGGTTTGTCGGGTAACGCCTTATATAATAAATCCAGTTACGTATTGATTTGCTCAAGTTTGAATGTAGCTGTGACATTGACACCACAACTTTCCCCCAACCAATAAAAACAGTGATTAAAACATAACAGTGCTTAGATCCATGATTAACATCAATTATACATTATAAAGAGGACGCCAACCACTCATTCAATTGCCAGAAACATGCCATAGACGACAGAAAACATCCCAGGCATGTGTCTCCGACTGCTTTACCTTGGACTGAGATTAGCTGAAAAACAACAAAGAACTATAAAGACAAATAAAGATTCGTTTTTAAACCCAATTCATGCAGATATAGTTTAGCTTTAATATACTGATAAATATTAAATAATAATAATAATAATAATAATAATAATAATAATAATAATAATAATAATAATATTAATGTTTCCATTTTATTCTTATATCATATACTCAAATATTTGAGTTAAAACATGCATCTGGCTTAAATATTAGGAAAAAGATCTTCATTATTTATATAGGTTTTAAAATATGTTAAAAGAGAAAATTTATTTCATTTTTTCCATTTTTATTTTCTTCTCTACTAGGGTTTATGGAAAAACTTACTCAAATGCCTCTTAGGAATAATTCTTGTAAAAATGCCTCCTATAAGAAGATGTCTAAGTTGATAAATAATATAATTAAATTAAATTTATAAGTGACCCAATTGATTTTGTAGAATTTAATTAGATCTAAATCTAAATTTTAATATATTATTATTGAATCATCTATCAACTGTCAATTTATTATTATCATGAAGATGTTTACTGTTTAACGTGAGAAAGAAATAATTAGATAATTCTCTACTTGTACAATGGTCTCAACTAAACTAATCTCTGTGATACCTAATTAAATATTATTAATAACTTTATCTTTAATTCAAGAAATTAAATATGTGTCATTTACAAATTGGTAAAGACAATGAAACAAATGGTGATCTATAATCATTTAATAACATTTATTTATATATACCACATTAAGTAATAATAGTTAAATTAGAATATACAAGTAGAGAATAACCATATAGGTAAAGTAAAGTATAATTAAAACTAAACCTAAACCTAATGTATACACTATATTGAAATTAAGTAGATCAAATTTAGAGAGAAAAATGAGGAGTAGTAAATTATATTGGTTGGTTAGAAAAAGAGGAAGGGGAAATAATATAATTAAATTGAAGAGTTGTGTTCCTTGGTGTCCGTGTTGTTGGGTAATGGATAAGGACAGGAGATTATCCTATACCTATAAGGTTCTTTATGAGTCCCATACAGAGAAGAGAGTCTTAATTTGGAGGGTGGGGGGAGTGAGGGACCATGGGAGAGAGAGAGAGAGAGGGTTGGGGACGGTGCAGAGAACAGTGTGAAGCAATGAGGGTTGAGGCCCACATGGGGCCCAGGAGGCAAGGGAGGAGCAAACCTGGGCTCATGGGATGGCCCCTTAGGGCATTGAATTGCCTTGTCCCTTTTGTCTAGAGAAGCAGGAGATGAAGAAGATAGAAGGTGACATTGATTTAATGCAGAGGTACCCATACCTCTTTGCATCCTTAGACATCCCATGTCCCAACAATGCACTTCCAGGTTTACTCCATCTTTAACCAACCACTTTCCTTCATGCATCTTATGTTATCTCCTCAACTCTCCTACCTTCTCCCTCTTTTTCTTTTCTTAATTTACCACCACCATCTTTTACAATTTTTTTTCATCATTACTTATTAATCATGGGTCCTCTTAGGGAAGATTTGTTTATCTGTCTTGCTGAATCTATTAATTTAAGCAATTAATTTGTTTTGGAAGAAAATTTTAATATTTTATGTAGACAACAAAATAGCAATATTCTGATGAATACTATATATCTCGGAATTTAATATTTTTTTTATAAAATAATAACACATTAGTTAAATTGATATTTCTCCGGTGGCTACAATATCATATACATGTAATTGTTATAATATATTAAACTAAATGGTTAAATGTCATGTAATTATTAAGCGTAGATAGAAATTATTGTTGAAAATTTAGTTAAAATTAACAAAAATAAAATAAAATAACTAATCTTAAAATTATTTTTTTGTTATTGGAGTGAATAATTTCTTAAATACAATAAGTTTATTAAATTTTATAATAACCATTTTAAAATTTATATTAATAATGTAAGTTTTATTCATTAACATTGTCACTCTCTATTATTAAGATTTCACATTTTGAAATATACTGAGACCGATACGAAATAGACGGCAGAAAATTAATATATATTATTAATAGGTGCGGGGCAAATGTTTACGACAGAAATGGAAACAAATTGATCATGAAAATGACAGTGGAAGAAAATGGGTTGTTTTCTTTCAGGCATTCTTTTATGCACAAATGTCAAAAAAAATAAAAATTAACATATATTACTTCATACATAATATTCTAAGCTTTACATCTTAAAAATAAACTAGTCATATTTCAGTGAATTTTTTTTCCTTTTATATATTTCACTTGTGCAACTTTTTGAAATTTTTATTAACAAATTTTTATTCTTTATTCTATTATTTCTATTTTTTAAATTAATATTAGATATCGTGTTGTATTGTGATGAGTTGTTCTTCTTCTCCTACATAATATTCTTTACAATCATGAGAGGAACACTAGAAAAAAGGAAAAAAAAAGAAACATATTTTTATTATTGAAAAAACTTAGTGTAGGTAAGAAATACAAGGATCCTATACACACAGGAAATTAAAAAAACAGAATGAGTGGTTTGCGTTTGAGTGAACTAAATATACTCTGAATGGATTGTTTGGAGTATTTTGCTTTTCTTCAATATTCTCAGAGCCTACTTAAGAAGAATGTTGGCAAGTTGAAGGGTTGTCTGGATAGGAAAGAGCTTCACCGTGCTGAATTTTGTCTTTAACAATATGATAGTCAATTTTGATGTCTTTAGTACGTTAATGAAAAACTTGATTAAATGTTATCTTAATTGCAGAAGGATTATCGCAATAAATGATAGTCGGTTGATGATAGAATATACACAGGTCCTTAATGAGATTTATTAGCCATTGAACTTCACAAACAGTTTGGGCAAGAGCTCTATACTCTGCCTCATATGAGCTTTGAGAAATGGTAGATTGATCCTTGGATCTCCTATAGATGGGAGAATTTCTAAGATAGATAATGTAACCCGTGAAAAATTTTCTTGTGTCAATGTATCCAGCCCAATCAGAGTCATTGTAGGCTTTGAGTTTTAATTCACTATCAGCATTAAGAAATATCTCTTGTCGTGCAATTCACTTGAGATACCAAAGAATCCTAGAAACGTCTTGCTGATGTATTTTAATAGGTGTTGAAAGATAATAACTTAATGTATTAACAACTATAAACCTCAAATCTTGCCCGACCTCAAAATAAAGGGCAGAAAACTTCCGTTCGAAGATGGACAAGGCCTTAAAGGTCCCTAGGATTGTTCAATAGGCTCCATATTAGAATAGAAAAACTTTTTGTATACAAAAATAAGAAAATTCTACCCAGAAGACTGAGATCGTCGTCTCGTTTGGCGAGACCGCCGTCTTGCCGTTGGCCAAAGGCGAGACCACTGTCTCGTTTGGCAAGATCGTCGTCTCGCCATTTTCCAAAAGCGAGACCGCCGTCTCACCATTTACCAAAAGTGAGACCGCCGTCTCGCCATTTGTCAAAAGCGAGACTGTCGTCTCGTTTGGTGAGATGGCGGTCCCGACCTTGTCAGGCGAGACGGCCGTCCCAGTCTGACATGCACGAATTTCTATAAAAGGGGGGTCCTCTCCTTATTTTCCACAACTTCTCCAACTGAATATACCCTCTTATACTCTTCTAGAATCCCTCTGAAGCATTTCCAAAGTCCTAGAGTTCTTTTTATACATTCTAGAGCCCTTCGGGAGAAGAGTGAGCGGTATTGTAGAGAGTGGGATTTGCCAAAAAGCGCCCTTTACAAAAACATTTATAAAAGCTTGCTTCGAAGGTTTCTCTATATCCCTTACTCTATTTTATCACTTTTATTAGTTACCATCTCTGCGCATTAAATATTAGGGTCATGTAGTCAATAATTTAAATTTTGCAATTAATAAATAAGGGTAAAAGCATAATTTTAATGTTCTTATTTTAAAAAATAACAGTCTATCATAGGGAACCCGAAAGGGGCGTCATGGGGAAGCTAATACCTTCCCCGCACGTAACCAACTCCTTTACCTAACTTTGATTGTAATGACCAAAGTTGGTTTTTTCTTAAAATCATCGCCTTCTTTTCCTTTTCGAATGTTTTTTGGTTAAAATATTGGTGGCGAATCCAAAACCCAGTTATGAAAACCTCACCCTTAGAATAGTTCGGTTATTGGACATCCTAAGGGTGATGACCACACTTTTTTAAAACGCGAGTCGAATCGAAAGACCGTCGCGTCGCTCCGACCGCCTCTTTTGACAGTAGCGACAGATGACGACTCCACTGGGAAAGCTAGAGAGTTGATCCCATTTAGTAATGAACTAGTTTAAGAAATAAAAACTTGAAATTATGCTTTTACCCTTTCTTGCTTTTATAACATGATTTATTGTTTGGCTTTAATGACTGTTGTATGCTTACTTTATGCAATTGTTTGAAATAAATAATTGTACACAAACCCTTGCACACAACAGTTCCCCTTATACCCAGGGGCAAGTGGGATAACCTTAGGGAGTGGGTGGCATTGTACGATTTACCGTAGTGAGGGTCATGAGCCCACCGGTATGGTTGGAAACCACCACTCAAGGTGATAACCTTCCTCTTTTGGCCTAAAGACCGACAAGGCCCCAGTGTCATGCATGGTCAGAAGGCTGGGAGAGTGGGGACCCTATAATGGGGGCAACTTGGGGGCCTGACCTTGGTGAGGATATTTAGAACTACCTTGAATACGCACCTTTCTGCAGGATACCTGATGTGAACATGACCTATGATAAGGGCTAGAGCAAGGGAAACAAAGGAAGTTCTTCAACAAGTATTGTTGGTTGACCAAATTGTGTTTTGGATTAATCAATTAATGGGCTTTAGTTTGATTTTTTTTAAGTTGTAATAAGGGCCCAATTGAAAATTTAGTCATCAGCATTTGGGAGATTAAGGGGTGCATAGCTGATTGACTTTTGGTTGTCACAGTTTCAGATACAATCAGTCATTAAGTAGTTTCAATTTCTAGGTTAATGGATTATTATTAGCCTTTATTTGTTTCCATTAAATAGTTTTCAATTCCTAGATTAATGGTGTTGAATATAGAGAAAATAGGGTTTGGAATTAATTTCCCTTGTGTATAAATCACACATAGGGTGGTCTATTTATAGTAGAGAGATACAACTAAAAGAGTAACTGAAAGTAATAGAATAAACAGAAGATATTTTTTGATATTGTGGTTACCAATATCTAACAATATCTTAACAATATCAAATAATATCTAAACAATATCTAACAGTCCCCCTCAAGCTGGAGCATACAAATCGTATGTGTCAAGCTTGTTACAAATATAATCAATTCTAGGACCCCAGTAAAGATTTAGTAAAAATATCTCGCTAACTGATCACTTGAGTTAACAAACTCAGTCTTGATATCTCCGGACATAATCTTTTCTCGAATAAAATGACAGATCAATCTCAATGTGTTTGGTCCTCTCATGAAAGACAGGATTAGAACTAATATGAAGAGCAGCTGATTGTCACACACAAGTATCATTTGAGTGACATCTCCAAATTGTAACTCTCTAAGCAATTGCTTGAGCCAAACAAGTTCACGGGAAGCCGAGGTCATAGCTCTATATTCTCGCTTCGCACTGGATCTTGCCACAACACTTTGTTTCTTACTTTTCCATGAGATCAAGTTACCACCAATGGAGACACAATATCCGGATGTAGATCTTCTATCCGAAGGAGATCCCGCCCAATCAGCATCCGAGTAGCAAACAACTCTTGTATGGTTATTAGAACCATATAACAATCCTTTTCCAGGAGATCCTTTAATATACTTCAAGATACGAATGACTCGCATTCCAATGATCTTCACATGGTGAATTAAGAAATTGACTTACCACACTAACTGCAAAGGAAATGTCAGGACGAGTAACTGTAAGATAATTCAATTTTCCAACCAATCTTCTATACTGCTCAGGATCAGATATAGGCTCCCCCTGATTTGGTAGAAGTTTAGTATTGGGATCCATGGGTGTATCAACAGACTTTGAACTTTTTTTGTATATGTTGATGACATTGTTCTTACAGGTAGTGTACTAGTTCATTTACCTTGTATATCTAGAGCTTAAGGTTATCTTGAATTTTTTTCCGCCTTTTGTCCACTGTTGGAGCCGCCCCACCGCTACTAGAGTCACCCCACCGCTGCTGGTAAACTGATCCTCCACATTAGAAAAGAATTATCTTTGTCATTAAATTTTATTTGGTAGTGTGAAAGTGCATGTTTAGCAAAGTTCTGGCAAGGAAAGACTTGGTATTTAAGTGTGTCCATTAGTGACCCACCTCTCTTTCCTGGGAACTTACCTGGTGTACTAGTTCACGTTACTGTCACCGCTGCCGCTGGAGCAGTCACTGGGTCCGCCGCTGTCGGAGAATCCGCCGGAGTTTCAATTTTTTTTACC